TTCTCCACCTGTCTTCAAGGCTCGTTACGTTGCTAGAGGCTTCAGTCAGCGTCAGGGGGTTGACTTCTTCCAGACCTTCTCCCCCACCCCGAAGATGACCACTCTTCGGGTTCTGCTGCACGTTGCTGCTCAGCGTGACTACGAGCTTCACTCTCTTGACTTCAGCACAGCGTTCCTGCAGGGCAGCCTGCACGAGGAGATCTGGCTGCGCCGCCCACCTGGCTTTACTGGGTCGTTTCCTCCTGGTACCCAATGGAGCCTCCGCCGGCCAGTCTACGGTCTCCGCTAGGCGCCACGTGAGTGGCACGACACACTGAGGACTACACTTGCAGCTCTTGGGTTCGCGCCGTCTACTGCTGACCCGTCGTTGTTTCTGCGCACAGACACGTCGCTACCGCCGTTCTACATTCTCGTGTACGTCGACGACTTGGTCTTTGCTACTGCTGACACTGAGGCACTCGCTCGTGTGAAGTCGGAGCTGCAGAAGAGGCACACCTGCACTGACCTGGGTGAGCTGCGTAGCTACCTTGGCTTGCAGATCACCCGGGACAGAGCACGCCGCACCATTACCCTGACTCAATCACACATGGTGCAGCAGGTCCTTCAGCGCTTCGGCTTCCAGTTCTCCTCACCACAGGCCACACCTCTGGCTATTAGCCACTCGCTCTCAGCTCCACCTTCGGACGAGTCCGTAGAGCCGAGTGGCCCGTACCCAGAGCTTGTAGGCTGCCTCATGTACCTGATGACTTGCACGCGACCTGACCTCGCGTACCCTCTTAGCATCCTTGCTCGTTACGTTGCGCCTGGGAGACACAGGCGAGAGCACTGGGAGGCTGCTAAGAGGGTGCTGCGTTACTTGTGCAGCACATCAGGCATGGGGCTGGTACTTGGAGGACGCGACAGAGTTGTCCTCACTGGTCACTCGGACGCTTCTTGGGTGGACGACCTGGCTATGCAGCGGTCGTCACAGGGTTACACCTTCAGCCTTGGCTCAGGTTCTGTCTCGTGGCGGTCCACCCGCTCTTCTTCTGTTCTCGGCTCTAGTTGTGAGGCTGAGATCTACGCCACGGCCATGGCTGCACAGGAGTTACGCTGGCTCACCTACCTGCTGACTGACTTGGGAGAGCGGCCTAGTTCTCCTCCAGTTCTGTACGGTGACAACAAGGCGGCCCTTGCCTTGTGTCAGGAGCACAGACTGGAGCACAGGACGAAGCACATTGCTCTTCGTTACTTTCTTGCTCGAGAGCTTCAGCAGCGCGGTCAGCTTCGGCTTGTGTATGTGGACTCGAAGGCCAACACTGCTGATATCTTCACCAAGGCGCTCCCGCCTAGTGATCATCAGCGGCACTGTACTTCTTTAGGCCTTGTGTCCACGTTTCCTCATTTGCTTACTGCTTGACTTTCTTTGTACTGTACTTTATATATGTCTTGCTGTTTGTCCTGTTCTATATCTAGCATTGCATGTGAACTGGCCTTGTGGCCTTTGCTTGTGCTCGGAGTGTGGTGACGTTGTGATCCACCCTGGGCTTGTTTTGCTTTGCTGGACTGGTCTTGTGACCCTTTGCTCTCCCCCACTTTGCCTATGGGGGTGTGTTAAGTTGTAATGTGTTATTTATATGTGGGTAGGCTGTAGTGGGGTAGCCAATACAGGGTACAAACCCAACTAGGGTTAGCTACTTGTACCCAACTGTTTCTTTCAATGCATCATTCTTGCCTAGTCCTGTTGATACGGGCTTGGGTTGGTGCCGGAGCCGGGGCGGGAGCAGGAGCAGCGTTGTTGGTGCGAGCGATTTTGGTGGAGCGGGGGGCTGCGACGTTTTCCTTCTGCTTTTCGATTTTAGCGGAAGCGGAAATTTCTTCCGTTGATGTAGCTGCAGTCGATGGAGCGTGCTGCTGCAATAACGAGAGCAGCGCCTGCAGCTGCTGCGCAGTCAAAAGGGGGGGTGCGTTGACCGGGGTGACGTCAGCGGAGGGTGCCGCGCGCTGGCGTTTCTGGGTCGTGGGCCCGGATGGACCCGCGTCAGCGCCGGTCAAGACGGCCGCCGCGTCAGCGGCGGTCGTCGTCTTCTGCGCAGCACGCGCGTGCCTGCCAGGCACGCGCTCTTCAGCAGCAGCCACGCGCGACTGTACAACAGTCGCGCGTTCCTCAGGGGGGGTCCGAAGGGTGCCTCCGAGCAGGAGGTCGACCGCCGAGGGTCCCTCGCTTGAAATTTCTTCGGCGGGACGTTTTCCGCCGCGACGATCCGTTGTCCCGGCCGGAGTCGAGGTTTCCGCCGCGTTACCGGGGCTAGAAATATTCGAGTTGTCGCGATTAAGTGCCGGGTTGACTGGAGCCATCGCTGCGAGGTTGCGCTTAAGGATGTCGTTAAGAAGCGTTGACGGGGCAGTGAAGCGCGGAAGCGATAGAGTCTTCGCCAGTGTGGACGAGAACGAAATTAGAACTACAATTTTGAAAATGAAAACGTGGGTGGGGACGAATGTCCCCACGTCCCTCTTTTGTAGGCAAAAGAGGGTGAGTAGCGCTTCGGCGCTACCTTTGCTGTGTTGGCCACGTACCCCTTTTCACAATACAAAATTTTAGAAAGTGTTACATTTCATTACACTTTCAAAAATTATCATAATGTGGGTGGAGTGGATGCTTCAAAATGATTGTTAAAATGCATCATGTAACAACAGAGGTTGATGGGGTCGTTGAAACAGCGAAAACACGCTGCCCCAAAGACGATTAACAACCTCTAATTGCATACATGACACATACTAACACCACACTTTGAAACACACATCCCACAAACAAGAATGCAAACGCACGTAAAAACAAAAAAAAGGTACAACCCATCTAACCAAACGCATAGAAATGCAACCCCACAGTGAAACAAACACGAGAAAACAAGAACACACTCTCGCAGAAACACACCCGCACAGCACACACATACACACACAAAAAGGATTGGGAGCAGACAAGCATAACAAAGAGTTGCAATAAGCTAATTATGTATCAATCACTACTACATTGTCCCCAGTTCCTCCCCCTTTCCGCCTGCCTTCCTCTCCCTCCGCCATCAAAACCTCCTTCCACCCTTTTCCACATTGTCTTCTCTCTCGGATTCCCCTCCCTGCTCCCCACAACGCGTCTCGCACACCTTGCAAAACAAACAGGTCAAGTAGAAAACGAATCGTAGTCGGAAAACGGAGTGAATTTCAGTGACGAGCATGCACTTGATTGTGAAATAGAACTTGAAAAGCAAGTATGGGTTGAAATATGATAAGTACAAAAGGAAACCGAATTTGACGACTCACAAGCGTGGTTTGAGGCATAGATCCCCTTGGGTCAAGCACACCATGCTGGTGGCTCCAGCGAGAAAGGTGCATTGGTGCAACGAGATGGGCATCGCCATGCTACAAGGCGCTAGAGAGTTGCAGCAAGGCACCGGCAGAGGAGCAAGCGGGCTGCCGTAGCAACGCGTGAGCTCACTGCAGCAAGGCGTGAGCTCACTGCAGCAACGCGTGAGCTCATTGCAGCAAGGCGTGAGCTCACTGCAGCAAGGCGTGAGCTCACTGCAGCAAGGCGTGAGCTCACTGCAGCAAGGCGTGAGCTCACTGCAGCAACGCGTGAGCTCACTGCAGCAACGCGTGAGCTCACTGCAGCAACGCGTGAGCTCACTGCAGCAACGCGTGAGCTCACTGCAGCAACGCGTGAGCTCACTGCAGCAACGCGTGAGCTCACTGCAGCAACGCGTGAGCTCACTGCAGCAAGGCGTGAGCTCACTGCAGCAACGGGTGAGCTCACTGCAGCCTAAGTTGGGCTCTTACGGTTTTCCAGGCAGCGTAAACGTAAATTTCGCGAAATGTTACGATTTCGATTTCGTACGTTAAGTTACGCGTAAGTCTGACGCGGGCAGCGGAAAAAAAAAATTTCGCGGCCCGTTTTTTTTCATCCTCGATTATGGCTTACGATAGAAGCAAGAACAGTTAATCCGAGCCTTCTGCAATAGCGAACTAAGTAGAAACGCAGCGCCTTTAAAGTCCCTAACGCGATCTGAATCTGTGACGTCTTGGTGGTAGACTACTATGTGAAGATATCGAGCCACTAGGTTTAGATCGATTAGGTCGAGAGAGTTTTGTAGGCTGTAAGGGAGTCAAGACGTTGTGCTAGGGAGGAGGGTGTGAGTGGTGGTTTGTTGGGCTCGGAATTAGGACGCGCGCTTTGCGAAATTCTCTAGGGAGATTCGTCGGCTATGTGAGTGGCGTACGTGCGTGGCGAAATTTGTAGGTGTGGATGTTGGCGAAATCCAATCTAGGGTTCGCGACTGCCACAATTCTGTTCGGCTGTTTGGTGAAAACGAAAAAAAATGTAACAGCGAATCCAACCAACCCTAGGTCTTAGCGAATCAGCAAAGCCAGAAATATTACGTGACCCCACTTTTGTCGAAACTGGATCTGAATCCAGAATCCAGATCCAGATTCCGTAAGTAGAGCAGAACTTCGTATTCAGCGACTACTTAGCTCTAGTTCCTCGATCTCCGTAACCTATGGCTTCACCTGCTAATCTTAACGAGCACCCCGTTTGGAAGCATTTTAGATTACCAGATGGGGCTCCATCAGATTCGGCGGAAAGGCAATGCAAGTTTTGCAATCATTCGTGGTCCCTTAACGTTACTCGTGCGCAGGCTCATATCCTAGGTAATAGCAAGGACATTAGAGCATGCAAGAAAGTGTCAGCAGAGGCTAAGGCTGAAGTGCGTAAAGCGGCATCAGCCAAGTCTAGTGAGCAGGAAGCTAAGCGGATCGCCTCGAAGCGCACGATGGACGCGTTTAGCAAGGAGACAACCAGGATCGTTGCTAGCTCTAGCACACCAAGCAAGCGCCCGGCAAATCAGAAAACGTTGCTCGAATGTCGGCCTACAGGTGCAAATCTCGCAAGCGCGCAGGAGGCGGTTGCAACGTTTTTCCACGTTTGCCGCATTGCCCCCAATGTAGCGGAGCACCCCGCTTTCAAGTCTATGTTAAGGAAAGTGGCTGCAGCTGGTCCTGGATTTCCAACACCTACTCGGAAGCTGATCATGGGCCGGCTCTTGCAAGATTGCAAGGATCCCACGGACGACGCGTTGAAACCGATTAAGGACTCGTGGAGCGACATTGGTGTGAGCATTGCTACTGACGGATGGACAGATATCTCTAGCCGCCCACAGATGAACTTCCTAGCAGTGAACACGAAGGGAGCTGTCTTCTTGTTCGGCGTTGATTGCGGTACAAAGAAGAAGAGCGGCGAGTACATTGCCGAACACCTCAAGAGAGCCATCGGCATGGTTGGAGCAGAGAATGTGGTGGGGCTGCTAATGGATGGCGCAAGCAACAACATTAGCGCAGCCAACATCGTGAAGGCGGAATTTCCTAAGGTGGAATACATCCGTTGCGCGGCTCACATCCTCAACAATCTGATGAAAGACATTGGGGGGCGCAAATGGGCTGCCAAAATCATTGGCAAGGTGCAAGACCTGATTTCGGTTTTGAAGAAGGCACATTGGATCACCGGCTACTTCCGTGAGAAAAAATCTCTCATGCTGCTTAAGCCCGCGGGCACACGCTTTGGAACAAACTATGTAGCGCTGCAACGTTTGCTGGATGTGCATCCTGTACTTGACCAAATGGTGCTAACCACAGGGTGGGCTGCCCAGGCACATGGGAAGAAGCGGATGGTTGCGGCACGCGGCGTGATTAGGGATGATGTTTTTTGGGAGGGGGTGGAGAGGGTGGTACGTGTCTTGAAGCCGATTTACATGCTCTTGAGGGCGGTTGATGGAAATCAGGAGGTTATGGGGAAGATGTATGACATGATGCTGGATTTAGAGGAGAGCATGAAGACGGCTTGCAGCTGCCTGAGGAGCAAGGAGAGCAAGTGGATTTTGGGGGCCGTGCGGCGTCACTGGAATAAGAACATCAACTGCGCCTTATATGTGGTGGGTCGGATTTTGTATCCACCGAATCAATACGAGAAGATCTTCGGCAGGGACATTGAGTGCACTAGGATCTTCAAGCAGTTCATAAGGGATTACTATAAGGGGGAGTATGTGGTGGATAAGGATGGCACGAAGTTTCCAATGGCGACCATTGTTGAGAGGGAGATTCTTATTTATGTGAAAGGAGAAGGGGCCATTGGTGAGCCGAAGGCAAGGGCAGATCTCGAGCTCGTGAAGGTGGGCAAGTTGGACCCCGCTCATTGGTGGGAGTTTAGTGGGGAGCAGCAGTGCCCCAACCTTGCTAAACTGGCTTGCAAGGTTCTCAAGCAGTGTGTTTCTGCTTCCGCGTGTGAAACCAATTGGGGGGTTTGGGAATCTATCCACACCGCGCGGCGAAACCGCCTAGGACCCAAGCGCCTCGAGGACCTTGTCTACGTGACACACAATTACAACACAGTATGTAAGGTGCATGAGGAGCATGAGAAGCGGTTCTTCAAGGCTGGCCACGAATCCGTTCAGATTGAGGAGCAGCAGCAAGATCCGTATGGACCGCTCGACGATGACGACATCTCCGATGATGCTTGCATGGAAGATGAAGAGGAAGAAGAGGAGGCGGATAAGGAGGAGGAAAAAAAGGAGGAGGATGGAGGAGGAGGGGGGGGAGGAGGAGGAGGAGGAGGAGGAGGAGGAGGAGGAGGAAGAGGAGGAGGAGGAGGAGAAGGAGGAGGAGGAGGAGGAGGAGGAGGAGGAGGAGGAGGAGGAGGAGGATGAGGAGGAGGAGGAGGAGGAGGAGGAGGGGGGGGAGGAGGAGGAGGAGGAGGAGGAGGAGGAGGAGGAGGAGGAGGAGGAGGAGGAGGAGGAGGAGGACGAGGAGGATGAAGAGGAAGAAGATGAGTAGGTTGGGGAGTAGGGAGAGAAGAGGGTGGATTAGGAGCAGTAGGGCGGAGGACAACCGGGTCGGCGGGAGAGATAGGGGGATTATATTATATGTTTTCCAAGTTTCCATTATTTACCTTCCTCCACTATTGACATATAGATACGACATGGATCTCTTGAGTATTCTGGTAGTTTTTTTTCCCTCGGGCAGCCCAAAAAAGTTTTCAGCTGACCGGAACCGTAAGGCCGATTCAGGGCTACCGTTCGTAAACGTAAAAATCGTCGTAAACGCCCGAAAACGTAAGGCCCCGTAAACGTAAAATCCAACTTAGACTGCAGCAAGGCGTGAGCTCACTGCAGCAACGCGTGAGCTCACTGCAGCAACGCGTGAGCTCACTGCAGCAAGGCGTGAGCTCACTGCAGCAAGGCGTGAGCTCACTGCAGCAACGCGTGAGCTCACTGCAGCAACGCGTGAGCTCACTGCAGCAACGCGTGAGCTCACTGCAGCAACGCGTGAGCTCACTGCAGCAACGCGTGAGCTCACTGCAGCAACGCGTGAGCTCACTGCAGCAACGCGTGAGCTCACTGCAGCAACGCGTGAGCTCACTGCAGCAACGCGTGAGCTCACTGCAGCAACGCGTGAGCTCACTGCAGCAACGCGTGAGCGTGCGCAACGATTTGACAGCGCACTGCCGCAACAAGGCTGCCGCAGGAATTTGCCAGCGCCGCAAAAAAGGCAGCAGCGCACAAGCCGCCAGCACGCAACAACGTGCCAGCGAGCTGCGAGGGCACCTGCAAGGCGCCAAACATAAGGCGCCAGCGCGTAAGGCGCCAGCGCGTTTGGCGCCAACGCAGCAAACGCCAGCGCGCTAGGCGCTAGCGCGTTAGGCGCCAGCGCTCTAGGCGCCTGCGGATTAGGCGCCAGCGCGCTAGGCGCCAGCGCGTTTGGCGCCAGCGCGCTAGGCGCCAGCGCGCTAGGCGCCAGCGCGCTAGGAACCAGCGTGCTATGCGCCAGCGCGCTATGCGCCAGCGCGCTAGGCGCTAGCGCGTTAGGCGCTAGCGCGTTAGGCACAAGCGCGTTAGGTGCCAGCACGTTTGGCGCCAGCCCGTTAGGCGCTAGCGCGCTATGCGCCAGCGCGCTATGCGCCTGCGTGCTCGCTCCCGTGCGCACACACTCCCTCACACACCCTCTCTCCCCTTCTTAAAATGGAGGCACAATGGTAAGAGGAGACCAATCGGCATTGAGAACTTACGAGGAAAGTGGAAAAAATAGGACATTTCGGAGAGAGAAGGAAAAACGCACCTGACACAACCGTGCCTAAGAAAACAACGCGTGGTCGTGCAGCAAGCCACCAAACGTGACGGCGGGAACGGAGGGAAAGACGAGGGAGGTGAGGAGAGGCGACGGCGGGGAGTGAGGGAGAGGTGACGGGAAGGTGGTTCTAAAAACGCTATAGGAAGGAAATGGCGACGGGTTGTGAAGGTACAGCATTTGGGGTGGGAAGGAAAGGGGAGATGAGAGTCGAGCAGGTGGTTGAATTCAAGAAACGGGAATCGCAAGGGAGTAGACAGTGCGGTTGGTTTCTTGGGTTTGGTTGGGTATGTGTAGCGCAGGCAAGAAATTCTATGCCAACGAGGCACGAACCAGTTTTTGGGTTGCGTAGCAACCCTTTATATTTGGTTTCACATTTTGGGGATATCATTTCAAGAGTGATTTTTAAGCACTCTTTGAAGCACCCGTTAGAACAACGGTTTAATACCGTGTTCAATAGAATGCCTCAAATAGTGGATACATCACCCTTGATTAAGATATCCTAAATGTGAAACCAAATACACATGTTAAAGCCATGATTTTGTTCCGACCGTCCCAGCTCGTCGATTAATACGGCGGATGGTACGATCGAACATGGCATCAACATGAATAAACACAACTGTGTTAATGAACAATGTACGGTATGAAGCGTAGTGTGAATGCTTCAAGGTGAATGTTAAAATGTATCAATGCAGCAACAGAGATTGATGGGGTCGTTGAAACAGCGAAGACACGCTGCCCCAACGACGATGACAACCCCTAATTGCATACACGATGCATTGTAACACCACGCCTTGAAACACACACACCACAACCACGAAATGCACACAGAACAATGCACAACATCACGTAAAGATTGAGAACGCATCAAAGTCAATCAGCGAAGATACGCTGCCCCAACGGCGATGACAACCCCAAATTGCATACACGATTCATATTAACACCACGCCTCGAAACACAAACAACACGACACGTTAACATTAGTGAAACAGAACACGTAGAACGAGGATAGCACGTAATGATTGTGAATGCTTCAAAGCTAATGCTAAAATGCATCATTGCTGCAGCGAAGGTTGATGGGGTCGTTAAAACAGCGAAAACACGCTGCCCTAACGACGATGACAACCTCTGCTGCATACATGAGGCAAGTTAACACAAGCCTGAAACAGACGCAACCCACCCACAACACGATAGGTATATAGACGTATAAGCTCGCGCAAACACACACGCATACGCATACACGCAAACTCACAAGCATATGTAAGGCACGCATAGACACACAGTTGATAGTTAACTAAAAATCGTTTGAGTTTATGTAAAACTGCTTTTGCACGGCCTCAATCATTCCCTCTCCTTCCTTCTCCTTTTCCTTCCACACAATTCCCCATCTCGCTTGTATCATCCTTGCTTTTCTTCTCCAATCGATGCAAGGGAAATGAAGACGTTGTGCCTCACTGACCCTGCGCAGCATAACAAGAAACCAATAGTACGGGGAAAAAAAAAAAAAAAAAAAAAAAGGAAATTACTTCGCGTAGAAAGTTTCACGAGTTGATAATTGGATCAATAAGCTTAACAAACCCACGTTACAATCAGCACTATATCGTACACTAATCCAGAACCACCTATCAATATTGAATATGAGGATTTATGTTAAAAATGACGCTCTGTATCTAACCTGGTCGCCACGACGTTGGGCGAGTTTCACGGGTGTCGATGGAATGGCGGGTGGACCATTCGGCGCTTCACGTTTGTTGTTGTCGTTCACAGCTTCAACATGCTCCTCCTATGAATATCATCAAAAAAAAAAACATGCGCAAATTAACATCGATTTTTTCTTTGCATTCGTAAGAAAGGAAGATAATGTATGCCGTTATATCTCAAGCAATAATGGATTATGCACTTACCATGATGAATGCAGAGATCGTCCTGTCAAAACGATTTCCAGCTGCCTTCACGACCATCTGTGTTGAAATCAAAGGGACAAATGACAAAAGTTGTGCGATATGACGTTTTAACCAACGATGAACTTGATAACATTTTATCCTATTACAATGTTGACTATAGTAGAAAATATTAACTACCACAATGTCTATGTTTCATTGCATGACGTACCTTGATTTGACGCCGCCTGTGGAGGAGCTTCGTTAAGATCTCCTGCTTGCCATCAGAATCAGCTGCAACCCATGTCGCAATGCTGAAACCTTCCAGTCCGCTCTTGAGCGCACTCAAGCTCATTGTAGCACTCACACCTGTGCGGGCGAGCTTTCCAACTTTGATAGAAAATGGAAAATGGAAAATCAATTAAGTGTGATAACATCATAGCTTCTGAAAACAAAGAGCATCAAAGGCAATTGCTTATCGAGCATGAGATGTTACATTATCACAAGACAATGAATGGTGATACATGCAGTACTAAAAACAACATTTACAACAAAATCGATAGTAACAAAGAAAAAACACTAGTACCTGTCGTCGTGTCGAAAACCGCAACAACTGTATCTCGCGCGTCCGCATCCTGTGTCACATGCTCCAAGTCGCAGAGGTACCTGTCGTTGGTGAAACACCATCCGACGGGAAAACCGCAAGGGAGGGCACCTTCTCCCGACGGCCTGAATGAACAGACCCACTCTGTAGTGACGTCGGTGCTGCGTATCTCCACGCGGAGTGCACATGTGATCTCTTGGCCCAAAGAGATCACATTCTCCTCCACGGCTCCCAAACTGTAAGGGAGTGGGGAAAAAGAAAGTGAACAAACGTACATATTAACGATATTTATACTGCATCTGTTGATCAGACATGACATTATCTTTACAGTTGACTAAGATGCAACGCAAACTTGATAGTAATTTATAACTTGCAATACATATGAAATGACACTGCCGACGTCGGTTGGTGCTGTGAGAACAGGAGCCAGACTCCGCGTGACGCGAGCAACAACAGCATCATCAGTGACCTTGATAATCCTGGACCTGGTAGGAAAAAGTACAATATACATATTTGAAAGATAGTTGGGACTATATACATCATGTACGTTAACGTGTATCAACAACATCCATATTCAAGTCCAAACACTTGATTAATCAATAAGCACATGGTAAGACCGCTTGTACTATACCTCTTGGTTGTGTAAATCTGGGGATGCTCGACGTAGAGCTCAGTGATCCACAAGACCACTGGAGTCGATGTGAACGAAGTCCTGGTCACCTTTTGCTGCTCTGTCACAAACATGCGAATTTTGTCCGCAGATGAGCCCAACGCCGTCAAACCGAAGCGTCCGCTCTCATCACGAACCGAACACAGAGCGCGCAGCAAGAAACCAGGCTCCATCTTGGAGACCGTCAGCTCCACAATGAAGGATGAAACCTGTAAGTAATAAATACCAAAACAATGTACACAATACGTTATTACTGTATGAATATGAACGATGATGATAAACATACAAATGCGTGATAAAACAAAATAAGAAATAAGAGAACACATCTGAATTCAATATGACCTCATATTATGGAACAAAATAATGAGCTATGTTAAGTATAATGTCATGACGCGACGTGCACACAAACCTGACGACGTGTGGGCGGATCGGACGAAAACAAAGCATCCAGCCGCGTAGGAGTGAACACACTCAACGGAATGCTGTCCGCCTCAGCCGTCATGCGGGCATGCGATGCACGGTGCTCCCAGTTGAGCACGCCATCCAATATGTCAGC